CGCTGTAGCTTGGTACTCAGCCTCCACCGACGAAGCTGCCACAGTACGTTGAAGTTGGCTGCTCCAGCTAATCGCAGCCCCATTAAGAGTGAATACGTAACTGGACGTAGAACGCCGCGTAACTGGGTCTCCTGCCCAGTCCGAATCACTGTACCCAGACATAGCAACGTCGCCAACACCCCCAAAACGCAATCCTAGTTCGCGAGTACCCGCCAGGTAACGCAGAACGCCGATTGCTAAGTTCATGGCAGTCTTCGTGGGTGCGGCCATATACCGGGACAAAACGCTCAATGCATATGTAATGTAATGTAATGTAATGTTACAGAGTGGGAGGCTTCTGGGCCGCTTTATCACATTGTCAGTTCTAGATCATTGATCACCTTAAACACCATCCACCACTACCACACTGTACTTCGCCATACGAACTGTAAGTCCAAGGCGGCGGATCCAGCCTTCAGGGACCCCTCCTCATCCATTCACCCGAACACCTGAAGAGACGGAGGGTTCGGCAATCGCCACCAATCCAGCGTGCGAATCTGGTCCATCAACTGTGACCTCAACTCCACATCTCAGCAGCTAGCCATAATCTCGCGCTCCCGACTAATTCGGGGGTCTCCCCAGGAATCGAACCCAGGACCTTAAACCGCTAATTGCAGTAGTGTCAACCCAGACCAGACATTGCATATGCATATGAAATGTCAGGCCGCGTGTTCGTCGCCAGATAGTTCAATTCTCCCACCAAAGCCCTATACTCGGTGGGATTGCCCAGCAGCTCCTCTCCGTCCCCCTTAGGAGTGTACCTAAAACCCGGAGGCAAAGGGGTAGACCTCGGCTTGGCGTCAATCATCCTATGACGCTCCAACAGCTGCGCAATATATCTATGCTGCGACAACACTATCTCACCCGACTTCTCCCTCCTAATTTCCATGCCCAAAAACACCTTCGCTTCTCCAAGGTCGCGCACCTTGAAGACCTTCGCAATTGCAGCTTTAATTGCCCGGACCATTTCCGGGTCTTCCGACGCAACAATAGTGTCATCTACGTGCACCAAAGCAATAACAACCCCACGCTCGTCAGTCTTAACGAACATCGCCGGATCAGACTTCGAAGGATAAAGACCCAACTTGGCGAACTCTGCTGATAGTTTTTCATACCAGCAACGGGGTGCCTGCTTTAAACCGTAAATAGACTTCTGCAGCTTGCACGCAAGCGACCGGTCACTGGATGCATACCCAGGCGGTTGCTCCATCCACAACTCCTCCTTCAGCTCACCATTCAGAAACGCAGTAGACACATCAAGCTGATGTACCGTCATGTTCCGGGCTGCGGCAACTGCTAATAAATCACGCAATGACGAACCACGAGAGGTAGGGGCAAACAACTCCCCATAATCAATCCCCTCACGTTGCTCGAAACCCTTGGCAACTAAACGCGCCTTAAAACGCTCCACGCTGCCGTCATCGCTGTACCTAACCTTATATACCCAACGACACGGCAACAAACGAGTACCAGGAGGTGGCTTCTTCAGCTCCCAAGTACTATTAGCCATCTGGGCGGCGATCTCCTCGTCCATCGCACGCCGCCAGTCGTCTGCATGTGGACTTGCAATTGCTTCCTCAAACGAATTAGGCTCAGGAATACCAGCAGAGAAAGCAGCGTTAACGCGACCAGTGACAGTGCGACCAGGTTCGTTTCGCCACCATTCGCCAGGGCGTTTACGCTCTCTAACTGGGTACCTAGTTCCCGCCATTTCCACATCAGGCTGATTGATTCCTTGCCCGTTCGCACTGCTGGAAGGTCCAGCCCCAGCCGGCGCCCCCTCGCCACCCAAATGCGGCGATCCCTCGCCGACGGTGCTACCTGGTGTCCCTTCGCCAGCCCTAGGCAGCGATCCCTCACCAGATAAACTAGTGCGAAACTCCTCCTCCTCGTCGGCATCGGACTCATAATCGGAGTCTGTAGCAGCCGACCGTGTACCGGCTGCTACAGAGTCCCCGGCATTACGCCGCCGGCCGACATTAGACTCGTCAAAACGAACGTTAGAAACTACGGCAATAATGCCGTCCTCGTATAATACACGATACTGTCCACCGTTCCCGTATCCAACAAGTATTCCACGCCTGCTCACCGGGTCGAACTTGTTGCGCTTGACGTCGGGTACGTGGACGTAGGCAACGCATCCAAAGACTCGCAGGTGACTGACGTTCGGACGAACATTAAAGAAAGCTTCGTATGGAGTGACGGTTGACCCAGCAGTTGGCGACACATTCCTAAGATAGTTGGCTGTCGCTAACGCCTCCGCCCATAATGATTTAGGCAGTCCAGACTCAACTAGCATAGCCCTAGTCTTGTCCAAAAGAGTGCGATTTAAACATTCTGCAGCTCCGTTCTGCTCAGGGGTGTAGCCTACCGTAGTTCCGTGTAGAATACCCCTGGAAGCGAAATAGGCCTTCGTGCGAGTATTAACGAACTCCCCGCCACGATCTGTACGCACCTCCTTAACCTGCCTGCCAGTAGCGCGCTCCAGTTCCGCTATCATTACCACCATCTTCTGGTAGACCTCCTCCTTGGTCGCTGTAAACGCAACAGCTGAAAGACCAGTATGGTCGTCAAGCAGGGTTGTCACGTAACGCGAACCACTAGGCGAAGGTTCAGGCATAGGCCCACACACATCCATGTGAATGAGCGCGAGAGGCTGCCTTATGCCCAGATAACGGAAAAGGACCACGTGTATGTTTAGCAAGGACGCAAGTCTCACACACACACGTGCTGGCTGATTGTATGCTGTGTCGGTCAACATCAAATCCAGCTGGTCTGGTCTGGGTTGACACTACTGCAATTAGCGGTTTAAGGTCCTGGGTTCGATTCCTGGGGAGACCCCCGAATTAGTCGGGAGCGCGAGATTATGGCTAGCTGCTGAGATGTGGAGTTGAGGTCACAATTGATGGACCAGATTCGCACGCTGGATTGGTGGCGATTGCCGAACCCTCCGTCTCTTCGGGTGTTCGGGTGAATGGATGAGGAGGGGTCCCAGAAGGCTGGATCCGCCGCCTTGGACTTACAGTTCGTATGGCGAAGTATAGTGTGGTAGTGGTGGATGGTGCTATAAGGTGATAAATGATCTAGAACTGACAATGTGATAAAGCGGCCCAGAAGCCTCCCACTCTGTAACATTACATTACATAACATTACAAATCCAGCTACCATATTATGACGCAGCAACGTCTCAAGGTTGCTGTATCCCAAGTGGCCATACCTTCGGTGCCAAAGTGCTGCACGTTCAGCTCCGATACCCACGGCAGCACACACTGCATCACCACCAGAAGGTATCCTGTTGTCTTCACGCTGCGTCCTCTTCAGAGCTCCCGTACCTCCACTGCTGTAGCAGACGGGATACAAGTCCCCATCCCGCTTTCCAGTCAGCACCAACTGGTTCTGTACGTATACTTTCGCCTGTCCGCCGCCGAAGACCACACTGCCTCCACGATCATCAATGATGCGGACCGATATGATTTTGGCGGTGGCTTCCTCGTCGACGTAGACCTTCTTGAAAGTGATGGCCTGTTTATCGTTGACGTTAGACCGAATCGTAAGCATGCCAACTTCAGTCGGTCGAAGAGATTGTCCCTTGATGCCCATGATGTTGAAGCGCTCCCATGGCTCCAACAACCGCACGTTGAAAAGTTCTGAGCGGTCATACGTTATGTGGTGAGTGGCGGCTGAGTCCAGAAACCATTCCGTCGGACGATTGCTGTTGTATGCCACGAATGCTACCTGCCGCGGAACTCCTGGCCCCCTAGCTGATCCACCGGATCCTGGCTTGCTGCCGCTAGCTCCGCTGCCACTACCTCCGTTACCACTGTTGCTGTAGCCACCCTTGTAGCCAGAATTTGACGACTGCTTCAGCGCCTTAAGCTGCCTGCAGTCCTTAACCACGTGCCCAGGTTTATTACAGTAGTAGCAGATGACTTGCTTCCGACTATGTCCCGAGCTGTTGTTAGCCGGCCCCCGGCTACCATAACCAGAAGTAGAAGCGCCGAACGTCGAACCGCCGACAGACGTGAAGGCTGCCGACTCGGTAGGCTTGCCCGACCCACCGTTAGCCGTCTCGATAGAGAGAAGCTTTGCTGTGACGCTCGCCATGTCCAAATCGCCGTCGCGCATAAGTAATGTAGTCGTCACCACGCTGTACCGACTGGGTAGACCAACTAGCACGGTGTACGCCAGCTCGGAGTCGTTAACTACGTGGCCGACTCCCAATAAATCTGTTTGCAGCTGCCTTGCACGCGCAAAGTACATCGGAAGAGGTTCGCCGTCGACCATTTTAAAACGGCTGAATTCTTGACGTAGAGACACCTTGCGGGCGTTGTTGTTGGCAGCAAACATAGATCCCAAGGCGTCCCAGGCCTTCTTCGCGTTGGCAGCACCGGTAACCATCGGCAAATGATGATCCTTGACGTTCTTGATGAGCAAATTGATGACCTTCCGTGACTGTCGAATTTGCTCCTCGTTGCACGGCTCGTCGAGCAGGGATTGCTCAAGCCCAAGCTCCATGCACATCGCGCTAAACCGAATTTGCCAGGTAGAGTAGTTGTTGAGGTCCAGCGACTCATCAAGCTTGTCCTTAACCATTGTCGATGAGGGATAGAAATAACAATTTTGGGCGATAGCTGTCTGCGCTAAGCGGGGCTCATAACCTATTGAAGAATTGGCGACGGTGACGGCTAACGCTAATTGTTATTCCGGAAGGATTGCCGGTGGCGAAGATATTTAGCACGATAAACTTGTTACAAGTAATGTAAAGAGTATTGTTAGCGTTCGGCAGGACTTGAGGAGATTCCTGGTAGGAATACCGATCGTTGTGAGATAAACTAATAGGCGCAGTCACCGCCCTAAATACCGGCGCTAGCAGAAAACTCGTACATTCCGCGATCTAACTGCACGTACATTCCGCGATCTCACTGCGCCGTCCAGACGGTGCCCTAATGTCTATCACTTAGCTACCGGATATGCATCGGTAGCCCCATAAAGTTCTGGGGTAAGTCTTCCCCATTAGTCAGGCGCAGACCCGGGGTCAAATCCCCTGGTCGACAACCACACGAGTTGGGAGAGGACCGTTTCCTCAACAGCTAAGCGCCCCCTGGGAATCTATTTGGATTCCGATTGCGCTCTCAGTCAAACCCAAATCATCCATCAGCTTGCGAAGCCACAAAGCCTCGCGAACAGCTGCTGCTGTCGCTTGATACTCGGCCTCCACCGACGAAGCCGCCACAGTGTGTTGAAGTTGGCTGCTCCAGCTAATCGCAGCTCCATTAAGAGTGAAATGTAGCCGGAAGTAGAACGCCGCGTAACTGGGTCTCCTGCCCAGTCAGAATCGCTATACCCGGACACAGCAACATCGCCAACACCCCCAAAACGCAATCCTAGTTCGCGAGTCCCCGCCAGGTAACGCAGAACGCCGATTGCTAAGTTCATGGCAGTCTTCGTAGGTGCGGCCATATGCCGGGACAAAACGCTCAATGCATATGAAATGTCTGGGTCTGGTCTGGGTTGACACTACTGGTCTGGTCTGGTCTGGTCTGGGTCTGGTCTGGGTTGACACTACTGCGATTCGCGGTTTAAGGTCCTGGGTTCGATTACTGGGGAGACCCCCGAATTAGTCGGGAGCGCGAGATTATGGCTAGCTGCTGAAATGTGGAGTTGAGGTCGCAGTTGATGGACCAGATTCGCACGCTAGATTGGTGGCGATTGCCGAACCCTCCATCTCTTCGGTTGTTCGGGTGAATGGATGAGGAGGGGTCCTAGACGGCTGGACCCGCCGCCTTGGACTTACAGTTCGTATGGCGAAGTATAGTGTGGTAGTGGTGGACGGTGCTATAAGATGATACATCGTAGAACTGACAATGTGATAAAGCGGCCCAGAAGCCCCCCACTCTGTAACATTACATAACATTACATATGAAATGTCAGGCCGCGTGTTCGTCGCCAGATAGTTCAATTCTCTCACCAAAGCCCTATACTCGGTGGGATTGCCCAGCAGCTCCTCTCCGTCCCCCTTAGGAGTGTACCTAAAGCCCGGAGGCAAAGGGATAGACCTCGGCTTGGCGTCAATCATCCTATGACGCTCCAACAGCTGCACAATATACCTATGCTGCGACAACACTATCTCACCCGACTTCTCCCTCCTAATTTCCATGCCCCAAAACACCTTCGCTTCTCCAAGGTCGCGCACCTTGAAGACCTTCGCAATTGCAGCTTTAATTGCCCGGACCATTTCCGGGTCTTCCGACGCAACAATAGTGTCATCTACGTGCACCAAAGCAATAAGAACCCCACGCTCGTCCGTCTTAACAAACATCGCCGGATCAGACTTCGAAGGATAAAGACCCAGCTTGGCGAACTCTGCTGATAGTCCCTATGGCATAAAACGAGGGGTAACCCCCCCTTAAGCATAACCCAGGGGTTAGGGGTAGGGGTAAGGGTAGGGGTAAGTGGTTACCCATGTGGCTATGTACGAAGGGGGGTGGGTAACCTAACCCCGGGGTAGGGGTAACCCCTTACCAAGGGGTAACAAAGGGGTAGGGGTAGCCCCTTACCAAGGGGTAACAAAGGGGTCGGGGTAATATTGTACTGAGGGGTAACAGACAGGGTAACCCGTGTTTACAAGTGTTCCTTGTCCGTATGCCGGGCCATATGCCGGTGTCAATGGATTGTAAGTATGTCCCTGTCCAACCTGCCTACACATGCTATCACAGCTGTCTCATCCATCTATCTGAGCACGTATGCCTATTTCGCCTATGTAAAAAAATATTTGCAAGCCTCTCTATACACTTCCATCCATGCATATGCCTGTATCAAGCTCACATGTCTACACATACAAACATACATGTTCACCAAACACTTCGAGTGTACAATTGTAAAG